GAAGTGATTCGTTTGCTGTTCGCGCAGGCGAATGTAGACTACGAGGATGTTCGTATCACTGACAGCGATTGGCCAGCATTGAAACCAAGTGTGTTTGATATGAACGCTTCATTAAAAATGGCAATAGTCAATGATGTTTTTGAAATCTTAGCAATATATCATGCAGAAAAAGCAAAAAACCAACTATTATACAAGTATCCTCAAGGTAACACTGGTAATGACGATGAAATTGACCGTGTGCAATAGTATGAAAATGATGATTATGTCCAAAATGTGCAATGAAATAAATCTTGAGATAGAATTTATTGTAAAGCTGCTTTCAGAGGTACCTTTTGGACGTGTTCCGGTGCTCGAAGAAGAAGGCACTGGTCGAATGCTGGTTGAATCGACTGCAATCGCTTTGTATTTAGCGAAGAAATTCGGTTGCGTTTTGCGTCATTTTTTGCTAGGCTATTTGATAATTCGTTGAAATCGCTGTTGATCAATTAGCGAACATCTTTTCATGGTCATCGATCGAAGCATGAACATTTTATATCGTATTCACTCAGCAAGCAGCAACAACAACAAATCTTCAGTAATATGAAAGTGATAGTGATCATGAATCGTGGAGAAACTCTTAAAAATCGCTTCATTCAAGGTCTGAACGGACAAGATGACTGGGAAGCGGCCAAGATTCACGAGCTTTTTGGTGCAACAACGGATTTTCTAAGCCATGCAGTTCCATTTTACAACGAGACAAATGAAGCTGAAAAAGTGAGCGAACATCCCTAAAGAATTCCATTTTTTGTTATTTCAAATTTTTTATTTTTGCTGTTCCAGAATTCCACTTGTTACAAAGCGACAAGCAATTGGAGAAACGGATATTTGAATGTTGATAATTTGCCGACTGAACTCTGAGTAATTCTGAGCACAAAAACGAACAAATGTTTCTTCCCGGTTCATTCTCGTTTTTTTGTGAGATTCATCTCCTTTGCGGATAAAGCGGCAGTAATAAGAGAATTAATTATTTTTTGTTGTTCTTTCAGCAAAAAATGATGGCTGTATTTGAGAAAGATCATCTAGAACCATTTTTCACACAAATTAATAAGGTCCTTCAGCAAAATGATACAGGATTCTTTGTCGGAGAACAGGTATGTCATTTGCATTAATAGAAAGCCTCTGAACAAACCAACTGCGTTTACCTTATTCAAATAAGAACTGTTTTATGGATCTCTTGAACTAATCAAATTCTCTGAAACTCGATCAAATATGTGTAATACATCGATGTCATCAAGCGTCAAACGAGTTGATTGAAAATCGTTCAAAATAGAAATACTGAAACAGCATTACTGATCAATTGTTAATGCTGGCCATGTGCATTCATGTGTAAAATGCCGACAGCATAATAACGTTACGAATGCATTCAAATTATTGTAACACAATACCGATTCAATCAAAAGAAATTTTTCTAAGAGAAGAGTGATGATAATGCGCCTGGAATTAAGAAGCTATGAGTATTCAACAACACATAAAAGTACTCATTTAGAAGGAAGCAAAGCAATTTTTTGATGCATTTCTGAATTCTATGTTTCTTTTTCTTGAATACTTATTTTGTTCAATTTACAGTTGTCGGTTGCTGACTTGAATATGTTGTGCATGATTGGACTGTTCAGTTCGTTATTTCCGAAGATGGCTAATAACTATCCACAACTAATCGCATTTAAAGATCGCATGATGAACCAACCGAATATCAAGAAATGGATCGAAACACGACCAAAAACGGATTTATAATCAGCAATCCGTTTCATCAAAAATTTCAATTATCGGCCATCCTCCTCACAATTTTTTACTGCTTTTACTCCATTCCGGATTAATTCTGTTTACTAAAGGATTTGTTTGAATGCGTTTCAGCATTCAACATTCAATCCAACAGCTTAATCACAATATATTTTATTAACAAATTAACTCTCAAACAATCCCATTCTTTATCGTTACGTCAATTGTCATTATTATTTTGATTAGCATTGTTATTCATATGATAATTATTAGCAGTGTCATCAACACTGTTCGCCTCCTATATGTTATTATGATCAGGTTATCATTTAATAAAAGAATAGCATCATATTACATCGTTGCAATTTTACAATTTCATGATAAATGCATGACTTATCAGTTTTGAATCACATTTCAATTCATCGTTTCCCATACTGCATGTCCACGCTCGTTTCTGGAGTACCACTCTCTTTTCCGGATGACCCATACCTTTCCACGAGAAACCCTTCCGTCCTCGTGATCTGCACCAGTTCCAGAATATTCCTCTCTTTAATGGGAAACCCATCTTTTTCCCGAGGAGCCTGTCTTCCACTCCTGGAGCGCTTTTTCTCCAGGAATCTTGGTTCTCGTCTGACAAAACCCCAGTTCTTGTACACTATAGAGCGAAACATTTTTAACAA